TACACATTTTATAAACACAAGGTACTGTTATTAGTTCCAAGTCCCTAGAAATTTCTGTTACCTTCCTGCTTGTGTTCCTGTTAGAATCTCCTTAAAATTCCCATTGTAAAGACTAATTCCATATGGCATACATATCCCTTAACAGATATTCCACAGGAAAAAAAAAATGTTAGATTTGATTATAGAATTTTTATACAATAATTTCATATGTGCTTTTTCTCCAACCTCTACTAGTCTAAGTCACTTTCATTGATTGAAACATTTTGTTGTATACTGTTTTCACCGTATACTGGCTGAGCTGTATTTGATAAGTTAACAAATGCTTTATCCAGTTACCATTCTTCAATCCTCTTTCCAAGTAGCATATCCTACCTCAAATATTTGAAATAATGAAGTAAAGTCCATTTTAAAATGTAATGTAGTGAGCAAAATATAGAATAAAAGGTGATTAATTACTAGCTCAAGTAAATATACTGAATGACTGAATGAAAGAAATTTGAAGAAATAAAGTACAAACAGGGTCAGCATAGACTCTCCTATCCCTTTCTATTTTAATCACATGTTTTTACCTAAAATTCACTTCAAAGAGATAACTCCTTAATGGTTGATTTTTCCAATTTTGATAATGTGATCTGTAGCAATACATTTATTTTTATAAGTTTCCAAAAAACTCAAAACCACACGGTTAACCTGAGTTTGTCATGAAGAGATTTGACACATTATGCTTTTCTTGAATGTGTCTTAATTTAGGAAGAAAATCCATTTATATAACTGAGCTGTGAAATGGTTAGATGATCTCTTGGATTTTATTTTTTACTTAATTATAAGAGTCATCATTAGAAGATTTAGAAACAAAGAGTATTAGAATGTGAATAGATTTTTCTCTCATTTTCTTTGTCTTCCAACATAAACTCAACAGATATGGCAACTACTGGAAGGAAAAAGAAGAGAGAAAAATTGATTCCATATTTATACTTAATTATTCTGGTTACTGCAAAATATATGATATTTCCAATCACCTATGCATATTACATTGAACCATGTAATTTTAGACTTAGATTCTTAGAGATTACTCTTACACATACCACACCCACACCCTATTTTCTCTCCAACCTATTTTCATTTCCTTCCCCATTTCTTTATATTATTCTATTTTTATTTTTTTCTTCCTACTCTCTTTTTATAGTGCTCTAGAATTTTTAAAACTATATTAAAATAGCATTAAGCTTGTGAATTTAGAATGCTGGAGATGGGCAGAAGCAAAAGGGAAGTTTCTTTAAATAGTATTAGATAGAACTACAAAAAAATTTTTAAGAAGCTATATACTTGCCTATATACACACCATACAGAAGAACCAAGGAGTGAGATATTGCTAAAAAGAACACATTTAGAAAGCTGTATACAACTGCTTTTCTAGAGTTTTGAATCATGAAAATAGTATTAAATTCTTAAATGCAACATATTTGTTCTTCTTCACAGATACTTGATCCAAATAATTAATCCAAATATCAGAATTTAGCCCAAATATTCAAATAATTGGGCATTTCACCTATTAAGTTGCTAATACCATCAGACTCAGAAAAAGGGAAAAAACAGGCCTCATAGGTATCCATTATTTAAGCCACTCTTCGTCCTCCTTAACATCATGGCAGCTAGGATTTCCAGGTAACAGAGAACCTTTCAAGTAGTTAACACTGAGTGATTCTACCACCTGTAGTCTGCACAGTTTGAAGAAGAAAATAACACAGAAGTGCTTTCTTTGGTTTAGTTTTAAAAACAGCAGTCACTGGGACTAATAAGGAACAATGAGTGTTTCAGAACTTAAGAATTTAGAGCAGCTTGATGCTGCTTGACAATAAATGGATGGTCTAATTAAAGGAATGCAAAATTTACTCAGAAAAGCCAATGAACTTGCTAATATTTTTTTTCAAATACTATGACTTAGGATTTTTTTCTAATTAGAGATAAATAATATAAGTATGCTACTTTATATTCAATGAGAAATACAAGAAGTATATAAAGAAGAAAAATGAAATTCACCCATAAATAACCACCAGAGATAACAACTGTTAGCCTATTTCCTATCATTCTTTTTACCATGTATCTATGTATGAATATGTGGGCACATGCATACACATATATACATAGTAGATGCATGTTAGTTTTAACATGTGTAGGCACATATATCTTTGTATATGTAGGTGGCTAATTTAACAAAATTAGGATGGTTCTTAAATACAGTATTGCAACTTTTTTTTTTGTTTGTTTGTTTGTTTACTGTCAGGTTGGTTTCTATATAAAAACCAGAGCTCATCCCAACAAGTGCCCTCCTCCATGCCCATCACCCCCCCTCCCCTTTCCCCCACACCCATCAGTTTGTTCTCAGTATTTAAGAGTCTCTTACGGTTTGCCTCCCTCCCTCTCCCACCTATTTTTCCCCTTCCCCTCTCCCATGGTCCTGCGTTAAGTTTCTCCTGTTCCACCTATGAGTGAAAACATATGGTATCTGTCCTTCTCTGCCTGACTTATTTCACTTAGCATAACACCCTTGAGTTCCATCCACATTGATACGCATGGCCAGATTTCATTCTTTCTCATTGCCATGTAGTATTCCATTGTACAGGAAAACCACATCTTCTTGATCCGTTTGTCAGTTGATGGACATTTAGGCTTTTTCCATGATTTGGTTATTGTTGAAAGTGCTGTAAGTTTTTAATAGATGGCCTTTATTATGTTCGGGTATGTTCCCTCTAAATATAGTTTGTTGAAAGATTTTATCATGAATGGATATTCAATTTTCTCAAATGATTTGTTCTGCATCTCTTGAGATGATCATATGATTTTTATCCTTCATTTTGTTGATGTGGTATATCATGTTGATTGATTTGTGAATATTGAATCATTCTTTTATCCCCAGAATAAACCTCACTTGATCATATATTTTTAATGAATTGATGAATGCAGTTTGATAATATTTTACTGAGGATTTTTACATCTATGCTTATCAGGGATCCTGGCCTTTACTTTCATATTTTGTAGTGTCTGTCTGATTTTGGTATCACGGTAATTCCGACTTTATAGAATATATCTGGAAGTTTTTCTTCTATTTTGTGCAGTAATTTGAGAAGAATAGGTATTAACTCTTCCTTAAATGTTTGATAGCATTCACCTGTGAATCCATCTGGTCCTGGACTTTTGTTTGTTGGGAGTTTTTGATTATTCGATTTCATTACTAGTAGTTGGTCTGTTTGGGTTTTTTATTTCTTCCTGATTCGGTTTTTAAAGATTATATGTTTCTAAGAATGTATCCATTTTTTCTATATTGTGCAATTTGTTAGAATTTGATTTTTACAGTATTCTCTTATAATCCTTTCTATTTTTGTATTTCTGGGCATCTGCTGTTACTCTTTTCAAACTTTTTGACTACTTATGAGAGATTTAATTTTAGAAGTAAGATCATAGGATACACACATTCCTATAGGGGTCATGAACTAGTTTTTTAAAGAATTTAGTAAATAGTCCAAAATTGCTTTCCAGGAAACATTAAATAATTATTGAGAGGAAAATATATATTTGAAACAGAAATCAACTAAATTATTTACATATAACCATTATAAACTTTCTTTAACTGAACTTGAAGTGTCAAGGAAATTTTGTAAGGCAGTAAAATAGGTGAGAATATTCTGTGAAGCCATCCTATATAGGTTTAATTCCACTGCTATTTGCTAGCCAGATATTATATTAGCCTGCTAGTGCTGCCATAGGAGGGTACCATACGATATTGTGGGTGGGGTAAACAACAGAAATCTCTTTTCTAATAGTTCTGAGTTTGGAAGTATATAATCATACTGCCAGCAGAGTTGGTTTCTGGTGAGAGCTCTCTCTCTCTCTCCTCTTTATAGATGGCTGCCTTCTTGCTGTGTCCTCACTGGCCTTCTTTCTGTGTGCACAGAAAGTGTCTCTTCTTCTTATTCCAAAGATAATAGTCTTATCAGATGAGAGTCCTGCCCTTATGACTTCATTTAGCCTTATTTATTTTCTTAAAAACCCTATCTCCAAATACAGTTATACTGAGGTTAAAGCATCAACAAATTAATTTGGTGGGGTGGGACCCAATTAGTTCATATGAGGTGTGTTTGGCCAAGTAAATTGATGACCGCATATCTGAGTTAGTTCATGTGTAAAATAAAGATAATAATACTTTATTGGCTGTGATGAGACTAAATGTGTTATCATACATAAGGGCTTCAAGAGCAGTGCTTAGCAAATGGTTAAATATTTAATAAATAGTATAGCATTAAAGATCACATGGATATTATATATATTAACCATGATATGCTATTTTAAAATAGCCCCAATAGCCGAATTTGTAAGTTAGGCATTTTGTTAATTTTAATAATTATTAGAAGAATTAGTATTTAACAGAATAGAAACTTTAAGCAAGTTATCCAAGATCATACAATGAGTTGACAGTACAATTAAGAATAAAAACAAGTGTCTCAAAAAAAGGCATATTCTTTCAATTCTTTTGAAGTTAAAATAATTGTCAGAAAGAAGACTAGTCATTTTCTATGACTAATATTTATTAATTTTAGGGTGGAAGTAGGCTTTAAAAGAAATAAGATATATATTATTTGGAATATTTCAGGTTTGCTTATTTAAGGTTTTTTAAACTGCCTCTTCCACATAGAAAATAAACCTCTCAATATAAGTATTTCAAAAATATTTAGTAAAATGCTTAAGAATGAGGAAAAAAAGGGCCAAGAGACTAAGAACATTCATCTTGCTTCTTTACTGAAATAAACTTACTTGAAAATCAAACAACCCACAGATATTTACTGAATTGTATTTTGTGATTAGTGGTAATCCAAGTACCACTGGAAATGCAAAAGAAGTTATGATACATAAACACAGGATTAAGACAATTATGTAGAGAGCACGTTGTACCTTGTAGAGAGCATGTTGTACCTTGGAGTATAGCTGAAGGACATCTAACTCACCATGACACAGGAAAGTTGAACAGGAATCAGGAATGCCAGTGCTGGAGTACTCATGCTAGAAGGCATGGACAAAATGAAATTAAGCTGAAGATGAACAGTCAATAACTGACAGTGGGGGCAGGTGAAACAGGGAGAACAGCCAGGCAGGAGAAGAGAAGTCTCCAGGTAAATGGGACCATAAGACCAAAGAGACAAATTTGCAAAACGTGCAAAGGACTACAAATAGTTCTGTGTTCTAACCCAAAGTTCTAGGCAGTGGATGATGAGATGAACCGGTATAGGCAAGATCATCGGTGACTAGTATATATCATAAAAAGGTTTGTAATTTATTCTGTAGATAATGGAAAGTTGCAAAAAGGTTCTGTAGCAGCCTGACTTAGTGTTATTGACATCTTAAATAGATCTCTCTAGTAATCCTATAAAGGTTGAGCTTGAAGATGACAAAACCAGAGGCAGCTAGATCAATATGGACACTTTTTGTGATTGTCTAGCCAGAACTGAGGTAGTGGAGATAAAAGAGAAAAGAAAATGTCAAGAAGTCCTTAGGCATTAGAATTATTAGAATATATGGCCTTATAGATAGGGAACTATGGGAAAGAAAGATGATTAAACAGAAGTTTAGGGAAAGGAACAATTTTGAGAGAAAATGACACATTCAGTTTTCAAAATTTTAGGATCAAGGTAATGATGAATGGTTGACAGAAAGTTGGAAATACGAACCCAGAGCATGAAGATTAAGTCAGGACAAATGGCCATTGAAATAAGAGTAGATGAGATTGTCCACTGAGTATTTAAAATGACAAATGATTCAAGGACAGAATCCTGAGGAAAAACAACCTTTAAAGGATGGGTCATGTGGAAGAACCCCATGAAGAAAGCAGAGGAGATCTGAAAAACAGAAAAAACAAAAACCAAACAAAAAACTGGGTTTGAGAAGACAAGTGTACTAAAGATCAAAACAGATGGTAACCTTTAATGAATGCCCACTGAATACACCAAAGAGAAAGCTATTTGTGATCTTAGAGATGTCGGTATATGTATTGGGGGGGGGGCTGAGAAAATAGATGGTAGTGGGTTCCTCTGAGTAGGAGATGGATGTCTGAAAACACCGTAGAATCTCTCTTCGTTAATAGATAAAATGGATAATGTCCAATCACTTAAGGTCATATCTTATAAGGTAAAGCAAACAGACACAGAAGTGTCTAAAGTAAGCAATGTGCAGAGACCAGACAGAGAAGTCTACCCTAGATATAGAATTATGGTTCAAGGTTAGGCTTTCCAGCCAAATGGCATTGTCTTACTTGGGAGAAAAGTAGGGTTTCAAGTAGAGAACTGATCACTTGGGGAAAAAAAAAAAACTATAATCATTAGAAATCAGGAGCAAAGAAATCATAAACACAACTAGCAGTAAGGTTGACTTTTGATGTTGTGTCCTGCAAATTACTCAGGAAAGATTCCTTAAATACCAGCAAACAGGACAGGTCAAATTCCAGAGAAAAGGCTATGTTAGAACGTGCAAGAAAGATCAAATGACTGCAACTAAGGAAGAAGAGTGTGAAGATAAGGAACCAGGGAAACATAGGAAAAGATTAACAGGGAAGAGGCATGATTGAAATGCTCAAACTAGTGGAAATATGCAAGGATACCATAACTAAATTGCTAGAATACATAAAGAAGTTAAGGAAAGGGGCGCCTGGGTGGCTTAGTCGGTTAGGCGTCCTACTTTCGCTTGGGTCATGATCTCACGGTTCGTGGGTTCGAGCCCCGCATCGGGCTCTGTGCTGACTGCCAGCTCAGAGCCTGGAGCCTGTTTCAGTCTGTGTCTCCCTCTCTCTCTGACCCTCCCCTGCTCACACTGTCTCTCTCTCTCTCTCTCTCTCTCCTAGAAATAAATAAAAATATTAAAAAAAAAAAAAAGAAGTTAAGGAAATACACTAGCCCATGAAATAAGAAATGGACAAACCAAGAAAGACTAGCACTTCAGAAGTCAGAGATACATGAGAGCATCTATCCCTGCACACATAAATTACTCCATAAAGATTTGCTGAATGAAGAAATTAATGAATAAACCAGTTAATGGAAAAAATAAAAAGATTGGCAACATTTTTATTTTGTTTAGCTTTAAACTAATATGCGTACAGAGTATCCACTCTTCACCTAAAATTTCTACTTTTTTTTAAACGGTGCATGAATTTTCTCACACAAACACCCAATGTCTCCAGACAAGAGTTATGTTACAAAAGTAAACAATTTTCCCTTGGAAAATTAAATATAACCAGTAGAAACCATTTATGAAAAGCACTTGTAAGAATTACTTTTCTTCCACTACTGTCCTATTTTTCAGTCTTCTCTCTACAGAAAATGTATAAATCTGTTGAGTTTTATCCTAGAACCATAGTTTTACATTTAATTAAATATACAGCACATCCTGTATGTTATCCTCACTAAAGGCCATACCTTAATAAAGACAGCACAACATACTTCTATAGCCTGGCAAGGTAAGACCATGAAGAATAAATTAAAAGATAATTGAGTAATTCCTAAAATAACATGTGAAGATAGGAAGAAGATTATATCTGGAGGACAAAATGATAGAAAAATAAATAAAAATGGCATATCTCATAGGTATATTTTCAATTTAATACAGTAATATAGAAGGTTTTACTTTGAGTCAGGAGACAATGGTTCTATTTCTGTGGCTCTCTTTGTATTCTAAGACAAACATTTTAATATATTTGTGCTGGATTCTTCCAGTTCTTGTTTCCATTCTTCACCTTCCTCACTTCCTATGTGGCAGCCATTGTCATCTTTTATTTTTTTATGTTTTTAATGTTTTATTTATTTCTGAGAGAGAGAGAGAGAGAGAGAGAGAGAGATGCGGCATGAGCAAGAGAGGATCAGAGAGAGAGGGAGACACAGAATCTGAAGCAGGCTCCAGGATCTGAGCTGGCTGTCAGCACAGAGCCCGACGCGGGGCTCAAACCCATGAACCATGAGATCATGACCTGGGCCGAAGTTGGACGCTCAACCGATTGAGCCACCCAGGCGCCCCATCGTCATCATCTTTTAAAAACATAAACCAGGGACATCTGGCTGGATCAGTTGGTTAAGCATCCAACTCTTGATCTCAGCTCAGGTCTTAATCTCAGTGATGTGAGGTCAAGCCCCACATTGGTCTCTGCGCTAGGTGTGAAGCCTAATTAAAAAAAAAAAATTTAAAAACAAAAATCAAACCATATCACTTCCTTCCTTAAAACCCTTCAACAGTCTTGTTACAACTGGAATAAAATGTAAACCATTCCCCATTGCCTTCATTAGCCTACATGAACAGAGCCCGGCCTACCTCTCTGAACTAATGTCTTTCCACTTTCCCCCTCATTAACCATTTTAGGCTTGCTTTATATTCCTTACATTCTGAAAATTTCATATTTTCTGCCTATATGTCTGGAACGCTGAGCCCAGGTGCTCCTGTGGTTGGCTATTTCTTGTCATTTAGGCATCAGCTCAAATGTCACTTCCTTGGAGATGTCTTGTGTGACTTTCTATCACATAATTATGACTTTTCTTTTTAAAACTTACTTCTATTGACAGATTTCTTTTTAATTTTAGAGACACACAGGAGCGTGTGATGAGAGAAGAGGGTTAGAGGGAGACACAGAGAGTGATAGAATCCCAAGCAGGCTCTACACACAGCATGGAGCCTGACACAGGGCTGGATCCCAGGGGATCATGACCTGATCCGAAATCATGAGTCAGATGCCCAACCAATTGAGCCACATAGGTGCCCCAAAGCTTACCACTATTGAAAATCATATGTTTTTCACAATTTATGTGTTTGCATACATTATGTGTCTCTCTTATAAAACATCTCCATGACTATCTTATTCATCACTGAAGTTTCTGGTTCACAGTTAATTCTCCATAAGTACTTGTAGAAGAAAGAAAAGACAGAAGGAGGATGGAAAGTATTTAAAAAATAGAAAAATATATTGGAAATAACCATCAAGACATTACTTAGATACCACATCATACTTAAATATTTATAAATGCCACAGACTTACTATGATTTAAAGAAATTTCATATATTATTGTTTTCATTTGCTGATGTTTCAGTAAAAACTGAACAATTCAAAGATTTTTGTGCATATATAGATGAGCGAGTGTGGATATGTGTTTTAATTTTCACAGTTTATTTGGGCACAACTAGGGTAGAAAGAAACATGAGACACCCCCAGAGCACATTCAAGATGTCAGCATTTACAAACACATGTGCTACCCCTCTAAATTACACTCCTCCAGCTGGCTTGATTAATTTTGAAGTGGCTAAGCTAACAGTGCCAGATCACACCCAAGCAGTATAAAATGGTATAAGAATACAATAAAACAGTAATAAACAATAGATTATTTCAGTGGCATATGGCAGATACATAGTTGGGCCAGCCTCAAACGCAATCTTTGGATTCTGCTTAAAAATCAGTGTCTGAATTATAGATTTAGCATTCAAGGCATTCTTTGTGAGCATTAAGCAGTTATTCCAAAGAGAAGAAAGGGAAGATCAGATAAAGGAGAAAAAGAACGCACACTGGTCATTGGAGAAGTAAGATAAACTAGAATTAGTGAGTAGAACCAGTGAGCATGCATGGCATTCTACAAGTGAGGATATAGAATGCACAAAAAGATTCAAAAGGAAGAGATGGCAACAAGTAGACTAATACATATGAAGGAAACTACATATAAGAAAAACCAGAGGAAGCTGAGTGAAAGAGAAAGAAGAAAACACAAACTTTAAATCTCCTCTACTGACTAAATTGGTATAAAATCACATTTTTTCCACTTAAATTATGACAAAAATCCCACATTGCACATTAAAGAGAGTTTGGAAATATGTTGCTGAAATCTTATCTACACCATCCTCAGGTAAAATTCCTCTCTCCAGAATATGTCTTCCCCATTTTCTCTATTTCCAACCATCTTCTTCTAGGGAAGAGATGCTTCAGAAGAATGAGTAGTCAGTCACAATTGCTGAGATTAAATCTTCTAAGCAAAGAACTCAGA